CTAATTAATCTAAAAATATGTAAAATTAAATCCTAAGTGCAATGCGTATTTTTGTATTTTTATGAGTTTATGTTAAATTAAAAATGCACACAGAAATGCAAATAAACATGGAAATTATGCAATTAATTCCTAAAAATTAAATAACAAAAGAAAAATCCTAAATCTAAGAATTCTGTAGGAGTAAATCATGCGAGGCAAAAATCACGTGCTCACAGTAAGTGTTTGGTCTAACTTTGACTCGAGGGATTAGGGATCCCCGACTTATTTTCTATGTGAAATTCCATGTGTGTTGCGTATAGGTATCGTGACGAGTACCTATACGCTGCCAAATTATCTGTTTAGCATGTTCCCTTCCTCGTTCCTAATATATTGTTTTCCTGTCTTAACTGTTACATACTTATTGATGCTTCCATGTCTAATTGCTTCTTGATAGATGTTGTTTTCTTTATTGAAGGTATTAACTGTTCCGTAGTTTCATTGTATTACATTATTAGTTTAAGTTGGTTTATTGGTGGTTCATGATACCTGTTGGTTGGTCTCGTTGTGTAGTAATAATCAATGAGATTTCATAATTGTATAGATTTCCGTTTGGTTTGGTTCGAGGCATAAATATTGTGTAGGGTTTGAGCTAAATTGGGAAATACTTGTTCTTATTGTGTGATTGGTACTGATATGGTGGGATCAGGTTGTGCGCCACAATAGGAGGAATAAGGGTGAAATGTGATTGTCTAGTGGGATCGGGTTGCATGTCGCAACGAGGAGTAATAAGGGTGGACAGGTGGGATCAGGTTGCACGCCGCAACAGGAGGAATAAGAGTGATATATTGAGGAGTAATAAGGGTGGTCTGGTGGGATCGGGTTGCACGCCGAAACAAGGAGTAATAAGGGTGAATGTTCATATCGTTACTGATTATATGGAGGGATCGGGATGCACGCCGCATCATTTTGCTGGTTATGTATTCATCTTCTGCTGTGATTTATTCTGTAGTATTGCAACTCTCTTAATGATTGGTTATAGCTGAGTACTAGCAAGATATTTGGGTTCCGTATTTACTTTGCTGCAAGTTACTGTTCCAATTCGTTCCGTATTTCCTTTTGCTTTGTTATATACTGTTGCAGGTTATATTGTATATGCCCCGCCTTAGCCTCGTCACTACCTTGTCGAGGTTAGGCTCAGCACTTACCAGTACATGGGGTCGGTTGTACTGATACTGCACTCTGCACTTTCTGTCCAGATTTTGGAGCTGGTTGTGGTTGATCGAGAGATCGGTTGCAGGCATTCATCCAGGAGACCCGAGGTAGTCCTGCAGGAGTCCGCAGGCCCTGGCGTCCCCTCCTATGTTTTCCGCATTTCTGTTTTATATTCTTGCGAGACAGTTGTATTTTTCTTTCAGACCCATACTTGTAATTATTCATAGAATGTTCGTGAGTTATGACACCAGTTTCTGGGTGGTAATAGTTTTCGGTATTTGTTAATAGCATATGGATAACTAGTAAAATATGTGCTTCCGCATTCATTTCAATTTGATTTAGTTTTATTTATTGTAAACTATAAATGTAAAGGAAAAAGGTAAATAGAACTCTAACATTGGCTTGACTAGCGGGTGCGATGTTAGGCGCCATCACGGTCCCGACGGTGGGAAATTCGGGTCGTGACACAACTGTTGTTTGAAATGGTGAATAAAGTTCTGCTCCCACGCGCAGAAAAATGTTCCATTACGTCACGAGCAGACTTGGTTCTCATGGAACCACTGGATGCCTACACCACTATAAACTTGTCTGGTCTTATGATAGAGCACATGAAGAAAGTGGTAGAGTTTAAGGATGGTAATCATGGGCTGCCTTATGGCTTCCTCCTCATTAAAGTATTTGAATTCTTTAAAGTCCCTTTGGGAAAGGCTAAAGCGGGTACTCGCAAGTAAACCCTCCCTAAGACCACATTAGAAGAGTGTGAGTGCATTGATAGGAGGGGAGGGGTTGGCAGCAATTCTACTATCTCTCAGCTGATTAACGCTCAGAATAGTGCCACCGAAGAGATAAGGAAGCTAAAGGCACGGAATGCGATTCTCGAAGGTCAGCTCAGTCAGGTTCAGAAGGCACCAGGTTCTAACAGTTCCCAAAGCACAGAGATTGCCCGTCTAACAAAGGAAAATGCTGACCTCAGGAAACAGGTTGAGGACCTGAAGGAGAGGCTGCTCAACGAGCAGGTATCAGCAAATGCTCGAATGGACATCCTTCTTAGAACCCTTGCCTCTTCATCTGGGCCTTCCCTTTCCAGTGCTCCTTAAAAGTCGTTCCCTTCCTAGTGTCAAGTTCAAGTGTCTGTTATCTGTTTTGGTTCCCCTGTGTTAGACATGTTTGTTTAATGGCCGGTACCTTTTTGTTATTTTATTTTTTGGGTGAGTATGTAACATCTGGAACTTCTCCATGTTTTATTTCCAAAAATTAATGAATATCTCGCCTTTTTGTTGTGCATGCCTCTCTTCTGCTCTGTCTTCCGTCATGTTTGTGTGCACACATGTGGAATGAGTTAACCAAGCTAGACTTCTTTTTGCTTATTGCTTGCTATTGATCTTTTTATGATGCCAAAAGGGAGAAAATTAATTGAGGGGGAACAGATTCAGGGGGAATACAGGAAATACGTATGCCATTCTGGTTCTTAGGGGGGACTTCAATTATAAGTTTGTCATCATCAAAAAGGGAGAAATTGATAGGTATAGACATCCTTGTTATGTTTTGATGATCTAACAAACTTAATGATAAGAACCAGATAAGGAACCTGTTACACATCCTTAAGTATTTAAGAACAACAAGTCTCAAGTCAGGGACATAGTTCAACTCTTCAGAGTCAAAGGAACAACATAGGGAACAGATGACCACCAGTTCCCTTGCTGACTGTATCAGTCACCCCCCTCCCCCCCCCCCTCCCCCCCAAATAGCTGTAAAGTTGCTGCCTGCACACGCAACAGTGCAAACAGTGCAGCAGTCAATTTTATGGGGAATGCCCTTATACCAAACATGCGTGCATCATTCAAGTGATGTCACCTATGTAATATTAACATTTAAGCAAAGGATCACAACAAACTTGCACATTCAACAATCGATCAAGCATTCTCTCAAGTGTGTGTCAATCCTGCAAGTGATACTTAAGGGCATCAAGAACAAAGAACAACATAACAAAGGACCAGTTTCCTGTATTGAGTCATTATATGTTCTTAGTTGTGTTGCAACTTTGTGAAAGTACTTTACTTGTAATTCCTACTCAGCTTAGTTAAAAGCATTGTGTAGGAAACCTTTTGTAAAATCATAAACCTTGTGTTTGTGTCTTGGCTAGAATTAGTCAAGTTGTAAGCTTTGTAATAGAGTTATTGCGAAGAGGCTTGTAATAGAGTTGTTACAAGTTAGTGAGGGATTAAGAGGTTAATTCCTAGGTTACAATAGTTGTAATCTGAAGTTTGCTCAGTAGTGAAGTTGAAATCCTACAAGGGTAGGTCATGGTTTTTAATCCCGTGAGCTTGGAGTTTTCCACAAAAACTCCATTGTGTCATTTACTTACTGCAGTGTGCGTGTGTTCTGTGGGAACTAATAGAGAACCTGGTTCTCTATATAGTTTGGTAGACCCTTAGTTTCTATCAACTTACAACCATTATTACCTCCACCATATTTACCACAATAACCACCAATCATCACTATCAACCACTGCTATATATCATGTATCATCATTATCAGTTACCATCATCATTAACCACTACTGTCATCCACCATCTACTACCCATAATTACCACCATCAACCAATACCAACATCAGCCACTACCTAGTCGGCACTCACAATCACCATCGTTAGTTCATCACTACTATCAACAACCATATAACTTTTTAAAAATATTTTATTAATATAATATTAGATTAATTAATACAATTTGATTTGAATTTATATTTATTAATTTTTAAATAAAAACTAGTTTTATACATTCAGATATAGAGAAATAAACATTCTTAATTATTCAATATTCAGATCTTAATATATATCTTAATATTTTAACGTGTATTCAGATTCAGGCGTCTTAATTTTAATAAAAACAAATGAGGCCTTACTTGGAGTATGTGTGTGCAATAAACGATGGAAATATAAATTAATTATATTTGAAGTGATAAAGTTCATGCAAAAGATATAGGTGCATATATTTCAGATGGATTTAAGTTATATATACGTGTGACATCATAAATAGTTATTTACACTATGACTTTTAATCTTTGATATCACTACGATAAGTTATTTATTATTTTTAATAGATTATCAATTAATATTCACTAAAAGAATTAATTGTAATTACCTAACAAGTGAGATAATTATGTATATAATTTTTTAAACTAACAGTGCATAAAACTTAAACTCCTTACATATTATAAGTTTAATGTTTGTTGTTATCAATTCCTTCATTTTTGTTTCCCTTAACATGAGTTCCTTATCAGAAGGAATTTTATTCATGGGGCTTTTTATGCGCTCTCGGTACACAAGGTAGCCATTTTTAAGCATGTTGTTTAAAATATATTCACAGTTTATAATATATTCAAAGATTAGTCAACTTTGCTCAAACTTTAGGACATGAAGTCCTAGAGTTTAGACCTCAAAGTTCAAACTACAGGACATCGTGTCCTAAAGTTCGACTCTTATGTCCTAAATTTTAAATTAATAGTTCAGAAATTCAAGACACTTAATCCTGAATTTCAAATTAGCAGCTCAAAAATTCAAGACACTTGTCCTGAAGTTTGGATGAATTGATTAATCTTTAAATATAATATAAATTGTGAACATATTTTAAATAGCTGGGCTTAAAAGTGGCTATTGCTGCACTTCGCCCGCACAATAGGCCAGAGAGCCCATCTACACTACAAGTTAGCTAAGGCCCATTACAGAGTGGGAATTTGAAGGCCCAATTATTGGGTTAATTCTTCAAAAGGGGATGGAGAAGACACGTGCGAAGAGAAGAGTGAGTAAAGAAACAGGACTAAATTAAAGGATCGAGAAGTAGCTAGAGTTGAAATAATGCCGTCTTCAATATCCTTGCTGCATTCTGTGTCATCTATAGCGTATGGTTTCCGCTACCGTGCGCCTTTAAAGCACACTTGTTTATTCTACACTCACCAACTCCATACTCTTCAGCCTCCCAACTTTCCCCTCTTCTCTTCCTCCTTTTGCCGTGTTCCTAACCCCAATTTCTTCACGGGGAATTCTCTCTTCTCCCGAATGGAGGTAATAATTCTTTCTATGGAAGTATATTTAATATTTCTAATAATTTTGTTTTAATTCAATGGTTAGAAATGATCGTTTTGATTCCGAACAATAAATAGAAAAAATTATTACTAGTAACGGAGAAAGTTTGGTGACTGGACTTGTTTATAGAACTGCAATGAAACTCGTTCGGATGATTAGTTTCTCTTTGGCAAAATTCTTTAGAATTTTCTGGAAACTTTTTGAGTGCTAGCGACTTTTTCCTAATTGTTGTGATGTGGAAGTATAATTACCTGGTCTTGGTATTATTTTGATTAGCTAAGTTTATTAGAGATTATAATCAGCAATACATTGTAAGCCATGCCCTTGTGTTCTATGTGGTCTTTACGAAGTACATAATGTTAAAGGCTGTCCCCCTCCCCTCCCCAAATCCCCACCCGTCTCGAATTGTTAGTGTCCTAGGTTCAAATAAAGCATCCAATTAGCTAATATTCGGTGCACATTGTTTTCCTTTTTCCCTCAAAAAAAAATCTAAATAAAAAAAGGAGTTGTGAGGATAGGATGATTTCTAATTTCTGTAAGCATGATCATGCGAGGAATATAATTTTTCTTTTCTTTTAAAGACGTTACTCAATAGTTTGGCAAGCCTTTGTTTCTTTTCTTAGGCTTGTATATTATATTAGGCTGGATCAATATTCCTAATGGGTGGTACAATCTAAAGGATATCCTGTGTTAGATAGCTATGAATTTCTTCTAATTGAGCTTTCTTTTCAAGCTTCGATGTGGAATTGAACAGAAAGAGGAGATTGGTGTGCCTAGATAACTAAGTATTTTTTCCATACTCTTGGAAATTTCTAGGAAGCGAATTTTCCGGATACATTACCTGATCTGCCTCTATGAATAAAATCTTACATCACCTACCATTTTTGTGTTACATAATTCAAATGTTTTAACTGCTGTGCATTTTTTTTCTTCTGTTTTCCGGTCAACCTTGAGCAGGTCAACAGACGGGCATATTTGTTATCTCTTACTTCAATCTTGTTTTGTGTTTGTCAACAGCATTTTCTGAGTGGAAGTGGCATTAACAAAAACAAGGGAATGATTGAGCAGTTGCAAAGATATGGAGTAATAAAATCAAAGAAAGTAACAGAAATAATGGAAACTGTTGATAGGGGTTTGTTTGTACCTGAGGGTACTCCCGCTTACATTGATAGCCCCATGAGTATAGGTTACAATGCCACTATCTCAGCTCCTCATATGCATGCTATGTGTCTTGAATTATTGGAGGACAGGTTGCAGCCTGGCATGCATGCTCTGGATGTCGGTTCAGGTGATTGTCTAATGAACTCACTTGTTTCTGAAATTAATTAGGGGATATCCTTATTTCTTTCAAAACGAGTATATAGGTGTCAAAAGCATGGGTAGACTGTAGAGATAGCAGAAGCCTGAGATATCATTCCTTTTGCGCAAATAATAAGAGGTTCCATGATAATAACTCAATGAAAATAGTAGATAGCAGATATTTAATTTTAAATATGAGAACAATTCAGAAGCACATATTTATTAGTTTTAAATATAGAAGACATAATTCCATTGCTCTAACTTGGGACCTCAGGATATATTTTGACTCTATCCATCAAACATTCAGCTGTCCAAGTTATGATTGAAGTGTGCTCTCCCAGGAATAAATGTGATACTTATAGAGCTCCCTAAGGTGGTCGGACATTCTCATAATTTGCATGGTTTTTCATGTGGGTGGATAATCAGAAATGACATTGGTTTATGCACTCAGTGAGAGATTAATTGCAGCTTGTTGGTTCTCAATATTCTGGACTTGGTTGTTTTTGTTCCCCTGAGGCCAATAACTTGTGACGTGTGAGCATGTATCAACACCATCAGTGGATTGAAAATGTGACCAGTTTTTGCTGCGCAAATTTTTTCTCTCATTTTCCAAGTTCCTTGTATTGTGGTTGCTTGTCAAACAGATGCCGTCTATCAGAGCATAACACTTAGGTGTAGTATTAAGTATCAACTCTACAGTTGTGCTATGAGCTCCATGGATCTTGATACTAAAAATAACCTCTAATCCAATGTAGAAATAATAGTTTCAGAAGAATGTTAAATGTTTTACATGATTGGCCTGCCCAGGTGAACAGTTATTAGCTTGTGTTGTTTGGTGTAGATATCTTATGTTAGGTACAAAAATTGATTTTATGTTAGGAAAATCATTGGGTATTTGATGGGTTTGAATTAGACAGAAGTGAAAGAATCAAATCTAGGGTTCGGTTAGAGGAAGAGGATAATGTTGACTTAGAAGCAAGATTATTGGTAGTGGCGATTGACAGCATGAACCGGCTTTGCTTGTTTCTGCATTGCTCTGAATGAAGAGTTGGTCTCTCTGTACTTCCTTTTTTTTTTTATTAAGTTCTTCCTGTGTTAACTTTAAGTGAATGTTTCATTTACCATGAGCTTTTGAGAAATTATTTTTATGTAATGATGAGAATTATGTTCAAGGTAGCTTTTATCTCACTAGTAGAAATGTTTTCTGTAACCGTAGCTCTTAGTTGGAGTTTTTGAGAGAGAACTGTTATATTAATCAAACGTATGGTTAGCAAGATTTGGAACTTTCATACTTACCTTTGTCTCAAAAAAAGAAAAAGAAAAAGATTTTGACCTTTCATGCCATTGTTAACGGATATTTATTTTCTCGTATGGAAAACATCAGGAGATGCTGATAAGCTTTTAGAATCTATTCTTGTTGGCTTGTAAGCAATGAAATCCTATCTATAGGGATTGAGGAATAGTTGATTGAATGAATGAATGGAGGATGACCTTTTCTTGTCAAAGCTAATAGCTTTGTTTCGTGTAGGAACTGGGTATCTCACAGCATGTTTTGCTCTGATGGTTGGACCACAAGGTCGAGCTGTTGGTGTGGAGCATATACCAGAGTTGGTTGCATGGTCCACCAAGAATGTTGAAAGAAGTGCAGCAGCTCCTTTGTTAAAAGAAGGGTCTCTCTCATTGCATGTTGGTGGTATGGTTTTGTAATTTTCATGTAGTTTATTCAGGAACTTATGGATTACGTCTCTGTTTGTTGATCACAACCAAATAACTCGCACCAAAGAGAGCATTAAGGAGACACTCGACATACCAAAGTAGTTTGTGTTCGTAGATGGTTGCTTAACCTTATTTCTTGTTTCCTGTCTACCATGCCCCAACCATTGGACAAGTTTTATTGGGGGATTTTTTGAGTATGTTGACAAATAAGTGTGTTTTTTTGATGACTTTTGCATCATTGCAGACGGGAGGAAGGGTTGGCCAGAGCATGCACCATATGATGCTATTCACGTTGGAGCAGCTGCAGCTGATATTCCCCAGGATCTCATCGACCAGTTAAAGCCTGGGGGAAGGATGGTGATTCCAGTGGGTACCTTTTTCCAAGATCTCAAGGTTATAGACAAGAATTTGGATGGTTCAATAAGTGTTCGAAGTGAGACTTCCGTCCGTTATGTTCCACTGACTAGTCGGGAAGCACAGTTAAAGGGCACATAACACTGTCATGTTGGGTGGTGATAGTCTTGGTTACCCATTTATAACTAGCTTCTGTTTCCTTTGCAGTTTTCTTTGATGCTTTGTACAGTTTCACCTCTTAGCATGTAAAGAATGAATAATTCAGATGATTCTGTACTTAATCTCCATGCTAATTCTCTCCTGTAGTTCCTCGATGATAACAAAGCTTTCAATGCAATTTTCTTGTTTCTGCGCCAAAATGTCAATAAGTTATGTTTTACTATACTAGACAATTGAGAAGATAAAAGTTTCATTTTGCTGTGTTTTGCCTGTAGAGAACCTCGCACCATTTCCCCCCTTCTAGCACCTTCCACCTATGCGAGTCAGAAGAGCAGATAGCAGCTGCATAATCTAGCGCAATCGATAGAGTTACTTATGCATTTATCATGTTAATTGTGAAATCGCAAAGATATTTAAGGAAACTGACACCATACAGCAACCAGTGCACACCAAGGTTAAGGTAGCGGCAAATCAGTACACCACAGATAGTTGATAGCAGTCAAAATTTTAATGCATTCAATCCTCCAATTCGGAATTTCCAAAGGGCAAGAGCCAAAAAAAGAAAAAAGATGTTCCCATACCTATATATAAGCAATCAAGGAATAAAAACAAAGAAGTAAGCTAAATTGAAGACGTCTGATGAAAATCTAACTACTCATAGCTGGCATGACTGCTATGTCAATCGAACAAATAAATGTGTGATCAAATTCAGTATGTGTTGCGCCTAGGTCTTTCTTCAGCAGCATTAACCCTGATAGTCCTCCCATCCAGAGTCTGAAATACACCGAATGAGAAATTTTTAGATCAAAGATTCTGAAAGAAAATATATCTTAAAACAAGAATCCATCAATGAAAGTAACCACCAACCAAGCAACAAACTTTTTAACGTCTGTATTGCCAATAATACACATAGAGCGTGTTTGGTCCGTGGACAAGTCATCGAGAATCTAAATACTAAGACTATACTAAAGTGAATGATTATCATTGCATATTTGCAAGTCTTATCGAATAAGTTAATCGTGTTAAAATGTGAGTACACTAATCCAGTTGTCCTCACTAAGAAGAGATCCACGGTTTCTTATCTAAAGAAAATGAATCAGATAGATAATACCCTAGCTTTCCATTGGTAAAAGTTCCAGCGCTAAGGTGAATGGTGTGTGTAAGGCAAGCAACTTCTCTCTCCAAAAAGTTAATACGTCTAACTTTTCTAATTAATCATGTACATCATCAATTAGTTAAATAAGTGCAGAAAGACTACATGTAACAACTAACAGATGAATGAGTTAGAAATCTACAAAGTTTAAACTTGGTTTCATGATCAATATGGAAACACATATTTGTAACTGTATATGTCCTCTTATAGGACTCAAAATATAGGGATGTCACAGATCAAGATTAATGTCTAGTAACTTCGAGATTAATTTATTTTAGTTCAAAATTTAGATTGCAGTCAATTTAAAAGAGAAACCCCATTAAAATTGTCAAGTAAAAGGGTTGATCTATCATAAAAATCTTGAAAAGGAATCAACTTTTTTCTTTTTCAGATTAAAGGTTAAAGGTGTCAAAGCAGTTAGAATCAAACTCCTGGATGGACCACAGGCCTTGGAGATGATCAACTACTATCACCTACATGTGTGCATATGTGTGTGCAACAATGCGAGTGTAATAATCTGTGTGCAACAATGCGAGTGTAATAATCTGTGTGCAAATCACCTGTCCGTCAAGGTTGGCGATTGCTTCACTCATTTCAGCTTCACTTGACATCGTCACAAAACCAAAGCCTCGTGACCGTCCAGACTCTCTGTCAAAAACCACCCGAGCACTTACTACTTTACCATGTTCACTGAAGATTTGCTCAAGGCGTGCATCATCAATGTCCCACGGGATGTTGCCAACATAGATTCTGTAAGTAGGCTGAAATGTTCGAGGTGGACGTTCTGGCCGTGATCCTCTTGGAGCAGCTTTGTTGACTGTCAATAGCCTTCCGTTGAGATCCTACTCGAATAAAAAAGAAAATTAAAAGGAGTTTCTAGAGATAGTCCAGTAATATGTCAAGGTATCCATGTATCACACATCATAAGCAAGAAATGACTGAATTGTATGACGGATCTCTTCTCAAGAGACTGTTCAAGGGCATAGCACATGACAAACATCAGATTTTCTATTACTCCAACTCGTCTTGAAGTGACCAGCATATTCAGTCAAACACTACATGGAGGACTACCATTAAACTTCCCATGGTTGTCCAGAGAAGTAACAGGGAGACCTGGATAGTGATGTCTAAGCATAGCTGAAAGTTCATTACCATATCAGGCGTGGGAGTCATTCTCAAAAAAAAAAAAAAAAAAAAAGCCGTGGGACTCTTGGTGCAAAGTTACTGGTATATGACACACAAGCTACTTAAATTGACACTGCGGTATACTAGAGTTGACCAACAGCATATCCAGCACTATAAATATAGTCCTTTACTTCATACCTGGCAGGCTAGCAATTTTGAAAAGCATCCAAAAGATAAACTTATTAGTTATCTAATATATACAAGTTATCTATCATAAAGCATTTTTTCACTCTTGGAAATCGTCATAAAATCTTACACTACAAAATTTCAGCGGGTGGATATAAACATCATCCTTTCTTTCGAAGACACCTTCTATTGCAAATAATTGTTTCGTAACCTTTGCCCTGGTTATTTAAGTTCCACGGAGATTTTATGAATTCCTCACATTGTACATTATATTAGAAAATCTAAACAATTTGGAGGCAAAACGACTCTTGGAGCCTCCATCGAATTTACAAATACAAAATTAACCTATATAGTTTCTCAAAGGGGTGCGGCGGAGGTTCTTATCAGCTATGTTGCGCGGACTCTCCAAAATGCTACCGCACCCGTGTCGGATCCTCCGAATATACAATACTTTTGAAGGATCCGACACACACCCAACAACATCTTTGGAGAGTCCCAACATAGCTTGTAAGCACTTTTTAAGCACCAAGAAGAATAAATGTTGCAAATTTAATAGAAGCATCTTCAAGCCCCACTCGATTGACAACAAAATCCACATATTCAACAACTCTTGTTTAACATGCTTTCAAGTAATGGATTTGATAGCTCAATCAAAGAATAGGCTACAATCTCAATTCGCATAAAAGAAAAGAGAACCAGTGTAACTCACATATTGACTGTACAATTCCACAGCTTTGTCAGCTTCTTCCACAGTGCTCATAGTCACAAACCCAAATCCACGACTCCGATCAGTCTCCCTATTGTAAATAACCTGCAAAACCAAAATTCAGTTCCACCACATATATAAAGCTCTAATCTTTTTTTGTATTTTTTTAAAAAAAGGTCCAAACTTGTCAATGAAATTAGCCCCATTATTGAAATTAGTTACCTCAGCAATCTCAACAACACCAGCCTGTTGAAAAAGTTGAGCAAGCCCCTCACTATCTATATCATATGGTAAATTCCCAACAAACAATTTAGCATCCTCAGAAGGTTCTTGGTATTCTTCAGTCTCAGTTTCAGTCTCCCCTGCCTCACCAACTAAGCTAGGAAAATCCTCACCTTGTTCTTGGTCATCAAGGACAAGGGTGTTGTCATCTTCAGATAATACAGAAACAAAAGTTGGGAATTGGGTACTTCTCTTTTTAAGGGATAATAAAGAGGGTAAAGAGGAGAAAGAGGAAGAGATTGAAATGGGTTTTAATGGGGTGGAGAGAAAAGGGTAGGAAGAACAGGAAGAAATTGATTTGGTGGTGGTGAAGAAGGGAGGGATGGAGATAAGGCAACAATTAGTTGCCATGGATAAAGGCTTGGTTAAGGGTTTGATAACACAAGACATTGGTGGTAAAGAGAGAGGAAGAAGCAAAGGGTTTATGAGGGGGAAGAGAGGATAAGGTGGAGTAGAGAGCAGAGGTTTTGTAGCCGCCTGATGGTCCGACTTTTTTTGATGATTTTACCAAGATTTTCCAGAGTATGTAGGCAGTAGGCCTTTCTTTAAATTTTTATCTTATATATTAAATTGTGAAAATAGCACGGTCTAGCCAGTTTTCAAACTGGTAACTGAAAAATAATCAGTATTTACATAGTCATTAATTATTTTACTAATATACCGAAAGTTCCAGCATAATATGTTGGAAGCGTATAAACTTACAGCATATTATGTTGGAACTCCAGCACACGGAAAGTTCAAGCATAATATGCTAGATTATGAAGCTCATGTGTATAAACTTCTAGTATATTATATTGGAAATTCCAGCACATTATGATGAAATCTGATATGCAAAAAATTCGAACTCCAGCATATTATGTTGGAATTTTTTCGGATTTTTAAGGGTGTTTTTGTTCGAATTTTATCTTTACATGAAAAAATGGCTAAATTTCGATCACTTTTGAAACTATGGCTATTTTTCAATTACCAGCTATAAATATAGTTATTTCCAATTTTTTTCCCTATTAAATTTTACACTCTATGTCGTTTAATAACGGGAAAATGATACTGTATAGCCGCTCTCAAAATAATAGCCAAAAAATATATATATTTTGTATTTACACAATTTGTATGTTATATACAAAAATTATATAAGTTTTATACACTTTTTCGGCTACTGAATGTAAATAATTTCTGACGTGGGCAAAAAGTGATAATATCCCTTTAAAAACAATATTGTCGTAAGCATTTTGATGGTACAGGATTTGTTTATTCAGTTATTAATTGTTAGTGAGTATTAGCTTACAAATAATTATAGAGGAATTTTCAGAAATCACTATTGTTTAGTGGCTATTAACGTCATATAGCTACTATATACAAATTACTTCCTATAGTTACTATTCAGTTGTTACGAGTGTATTTGCGTTGCTGTATTCATGAATACAGCAGTAAAAAGCGCCTAAAAATCAGGGCAGTCCAGCTGTACGCGCATGTATTCACATGTATTCGCGTCATGTATTCATGAATACAGTAACGACAATCACCTTAAAAGTAGGTATGTCCAGCTGTCTAATAACGAAAATAATATCAGTTAGCGTGATACACTCCTAATATTACTCAACAAAATCAATTCTAACATGCCTCATTATCAACCCAATTAATTAGTGATTTTTCAGTTGTATATAACTGTTGTTTAACTTTTGTATTTAGTGTATTTCAATTTTTTTTTATCGTTGCGTTCATTAGATTCAATGTTTGTATTTAATGTATTCGATATTTTATATTTAGTGTATCCAAATGTATTTGTATTAACAATATTTTAGTTATTCCTAATACATGTTATTACTGTTGTATTCAGTATATTTCATTGGTTGTATTCACTGTATTTCTATTTGTATTCAGTGTATTTTACTGTATTTTAAAATTAAATGTATTCGCTGTTTATATTCTGTTCTATTTTAATATTTGTATTAAGTGTATCTCAATGTTTCTATCATGTATTCATGCATACTTATGAATACATGTGTATTCAGTTGTATTAAAAAAATATGGACCTTCGAAATACATAAACACAAACAAAAAATATGTGTTTATACAAAAATACAATGTGTTTGAGTGAATTTGTATATAATACAATGTATTTGTATCATTGTATGTAACTAAATAGCAAAGAAGAGATAAAAGTTCATCGGAGATGGCGTTTTCCGGCCAAGACTTCTTGTATCGCTTCACTACCTCTTCCATTACAATTTACAACGCTTCCAGTTCGACCGTTTCTTTCTCTTTCTCTCTTACTTACCGCGCTAAGAATCCCTCTTTCTGTTCAATCTCTCTGTCGCCCAAGGTATCTCCGCTTCCTTTTTTCGATTATAGGTTTACTTTCATGTTTCTGATTTTGAGATTTTTAGGCTTTCTTTCATGATTTGTTCTCTTTTGCGTATACTATTTTGCTCAGGAGAGAGAGAGAGAAGAAAGAGAGAGAGAGAATAAAAATTCTGAGAGAGAACCGTGTGTTAATTGAAAGAAAGAGAGATGAAAAACATAAATAGCGTATTTTATGCATCAATGGTAGTATATACCATAAATAATTATTTTGCTATAAAATATAAAAGGTAGCTATAGAAAATAATATTTTAAAATAATTTTGGTTTTATAATAAATAGGGTATACACCTTTGCTATAGGAGGTAAAATTTCCATAATTATATTCAAAATTACTTTTTAGTTATGAATTATAAAATTGTGAGTTGTAATTTCCTGATTCAACTTGTTAGAAACCCATAATGCTGGGTTTGTATTTTACGAATATGAGTTATATACCTATAAGACTAAAAGTTTTTTTTATTGATTATCTAAAATTTGGTTGCTTCTAAAACAAAAAAATTAACAATGTAAAAAGTAGTGATTGAAGATAAAATTTTGCATTACAGGCCGGGGCAGAGCTAAGTGGACAGAAGGAGAATTAAGATCTGTCAAAAGGTGAATCAAGAACCTCGAAAAGAACATAGTAAGAAGAATGAAAATGAAGAAGCAAAAGTGATTGGATTGTATTGACATCAGTGAAACGATTACAAAAGAGCTTATAATAAAACTCAACAAATGCTGCTAACATGATCTGCTTACATACAGTCAACTGAATTGGCTAAACTGCAAATAAATAACTAGCTAAACTGGCATAGAAATCAATCCCAGCAGCAAATCCATCATAAGGATGAAAATGTGCAGCATTACTCTTAACATGATAACAAGATCATTTCCAGGACTAAACTAGAGAAGCTGCACTCAATTTTTTTTGCACACATTCCCTTTGTTAAACTTCTCTCTGTTCCTATGTGGAAAAGCTCTTCAGTTTCTTCACGTACGAGAGGACATTAACTTAGTAGACTAGTTTAATATCTCGCACATGGCAATCCCCCTCGAGGTTTATCACCAACAATCCATTTTCTGCATTGTAAGTGAAATCATTCTCTTTCATGTCCACTTTACATGAACTTGGTTTTGAGCTTGAATATGCTCCAAACTCACCGCATCCTCTTGTTTTCACGTTTACTGAGCGATCTGGAAGATCATTAGAACTGTACATTACATCCTCAATTGCTCCTCCTGAGTTGTGCATGTCAATCAGACTAATTGGAGCAAATTCAATATTTTCACCCAAGACCTGTTGGTATAACATTCAAATAGAGCTGCTCTAGAAATACTGAGCAATAAGAAACAAAGAAAGTGGCTTTATCAATTACCTTGATTGGTGAGAAAGTAAATATTTCACATTTTAGTACACCCAAAGACACCTTTATTCTTTTTCTGTTTGGTACTTTGCATAGAGATCCTGAAAATCAAAATAGCCTGAGCATGAGCATGTGTTTTGCAAGCAGTTTACTGGTATGATTAAACGAATGAGACACTTACTTGAATTAAAAGCATATACTGCACAGTCTCCGCTCGAGTTTTGTCCTGCAATTTCTTCAAGGAATTCAACATCAAGAGGGCTAACATGGCCAGAAATTGTGTTTTCTGTTGTTGGTGAGTTGGGTGCATTTGGAGCTGCTTCTTTCAGTCGCCAACTTCCAGCTCCTTGGCAGTTGAAAACGCCTATCACCCCAGTACGCTTATTCAAATTCCAAATCTTCAGCAGGCTGTTAATAGTTCAAAAAGATTGGTTTTTGCATTAAAAAACTTAATCAAGGTTGTGCCTTAGTTTATCTAAACCAATGGAAGTGATCAACAATATGGGAATTACCTTTTCCCATCCATGACTGGATCAACAAATAAGCTGTCTCGAGTTGGTCGACCAGCATATCTTGCTCTTAAGATGGATCCATCAGGTAAAACCAGTTTCTTGAGGATGTTGAAGTCATGCTTCCCTGGCTTGTCACTGAAATTCAATACAGTCGAGATATCAACGTTAAATGAAGTGCATTAGGCCTTTTAATTTTCTTGTCCTCGATATATTAATGAGAATCATACAAGTGACTTACCTCACATAAACTGCACAACCACCTAACGCTCTCGCTGCACCATGGAACTCAGCAGTGTTGTGATTGCTCTACAACAATAAAGGGCGAGAATTAGCATATCCGGAACTTCACTTGTTTTTGTAAATTCCAGCTACAGATGATGTAAATGATATTAACACGGAAATTTTTACATGGACATGTCCCAGTCTGGCACCAATATTTCCCCTAGTAGAAGACTGTTATAAGCCACTGTTGCAACATGTAAGGTCTGGAAAGTTGGCTCATTAGGCATGAAATCTTCTGATGCTCTAGCTGTTGCACTCTTATTTGAACTGAAAAAGTACACTTAAACAGTTATGACATAATTTGGTACTTACGAAATTTGGAAATGAGATAGGTTGGATAGAAGGTAAACCTGTAAATAGAGTCTGAATTATGAGACATGCAACAAATCAGGTTATCGTCTTTGAAGTTCTTCTCAATAGATTCATCAAGAGCTTCATCATACTTCTTAGTAAGTGATACTCGTCCGCCAAATCCAGAACCCAATGTTTCCATCAAGTTTTGGACATCAACCTTGACGCCGTCAACTCCACAACTAGCAAGATAAGTGTGGAGATCATTATAGAAATCATAGATCTTTTGAGGATCTATTACTCCAACTCCATATTTCTCTAAGCTGTCCAAGGCAATATCTCTAATATTTCCCAAGTTTCCAGGGGATTGAACCGGATATACTATCTTGGGATTGTACTTCTTCAGAGTTTCAGATGTAGGAAGAACTCCTCCCCAGTAACCAGCTAAAGCATGCCACATATAGACATATCTGCATTAATCAGTAACTTCAAATGTTAGAAATCAGAAGACTAACAAGAACTAAAATTACATTCGCTTTTAAATCTTACTTCAGGCCATATTTCTGTTTGATGGTATCAACGAGCTCTTTGAGATTTGTGCACGAGCCATCTGACTCTAAGCTCTTGAATTTGCTGTTTTCCTTAATATCAGCTAATCTGGTGGCAAACCTATAACCAAAGAAATAGGCATTGAGTACTTTTTGCTCATTGAAGAAACTTGAAAGTTTTTCAAGAACTGAGAATAGAAAAGGACATACTGTGTTTCTTCAATAAGTAGTTCGCCTTCTTTTTGAAATTCATTGACTGTGTCTTGCCATCCATCATCTATGATCAAGAATTTTGGTGAACATCCTCCTTCTAAGAAACTGGAAAAGCAGAAACAAGATTCTGTTATTGAAAGAGGAATTTGCAGCATATCCCATTTGAAGAGCGCAATCTTTCATAAGCATAATGAACAATCAAACCTTTGAAGACCCGCTTTGATACCAGCTGGATTAACTTCTTTATAGAAAGCATCCCACGTGCACCATCCAAACCAATCTAAGTGGGTAGGGATCTAAATTTAGAACGGAAGACAAGTTCAGTTGAAAGCCCTTTAACTAAATTAACTAAGCTTACGTACTAACTATCCTCCAATTCTTGTTACCTTTTTGTTCTCGATGTGACTGAATGTACCCTTGTGCTTTTCCAGAATCCTGAGACAACAGAAATTAAGCGTCTGAATTGAGAACGTTTGATCTAACAGAAAGAAGGAAAATAAGAAGAAATACAGGAAATGCAACTTCTCCAATTATAAGTTGATAGATAACTCACTTGATGGAATCTTTCATAAGTTCATATGGATTGTCTCCTGAATTAACAAAAACTGCATATGATTGTGAAGTTTGGACATCCGGATCACCTTAAATAAGCAGATTCTGGAACAAGTTACTATAATTGCAATGGAAGAAACTGAGGAGCAATAATTTCAACATATTATGATGTTTAAAGAAGCTAAACTTACCACTTTCAACACAGAACTGGAGCTCATTCGATGAAGTTCCTTGCAAACTTGATCGAAATGGCCCTTCCAGAACAGGTAATAACAGAATATAAAATTTATTTTCAGCAGCAGGATCTGCAGAAGGGTCCTCATCCAAAACAGCAGATTCTTCTCCGACTTCCAGGAGAAGCATCTGAGTTTCCATTGGCACTTCACTTCCTGATTTTCCTACACGAGGAATCATCCACCAAATCTTCACAATAAAGAGGCATAAGAATTTGTAATCCGTGCAAAAAGTTATGCCTCAAGAGTTGAAACTCTTAATGCTGCTGGAAAATAAAATAACAATGGCAGATCAAATCCTTAATGCTATTATAAATATTTCCAAATTTCCAGATACTTACTCAAGAACACCAAGGTTAAAGACGTGATGAGAACTACTTGTCGTTGATTTAGCTCCCAGAAATGCAGAACCACAGCTTGCTGATGTAATGACAACATTTTCCGGCATCCTAGTTAAGACAACCTTGCCACGCACCATGAGACATCCATCTTTAATTATTGGATCACCTGTTATTGTCATGCTTGCTAATTGTTGCTCTACCAGAAAAGCTGCAGAACTTAGTATATACTGAAGCTTTACTAATAAGATACACAAATCCAAGTAGCAAAAGTTGAAGAATATATATATTCAAAAGGCCTAGCTTAGTTAGCGCTAACGAAAATGACAATGCCAAAATTCTAAGCAACCCCTCTAGATGTAAAGTGGATGGTTGTAGGCTTGTAGCTGATAATTCAAGAAGCTGAAATTATTGAGATTAAGATATTAACAGGGAGCTCTACTGAGAACTCTATTAAGAGGTTTTATAAGGGTGATTCAGGAGAAAAATATCAAAGCCAAGGGTAGCAAGGAAAGGACAAAAACATGCCATCGGACAATTTAGTGAAAGCGATTGATGTTGGAGGAAACAGCAGATGATTTTCTTTATTTTAGTTAATGATTTGGGACAAGATTAGATGAATTAAACATCGAGTCAATGATTTGGGACCAAACCAAGTGGGATTGACATGGGTATGAGTCATCATCGAAGGTTATTTCCCCTATAGTTACAAACCATTCGATAAAATCACGCAATCCATGAGCTTAGCAGCCAAGAAAATTGAAACTAGGTTGTCCAATCCAATCACATCAGCAAATGCAATATTATAGGTTCTTTACAGAGGGTTACAAATTACAATTTGCTTCATCTTTTGGACTCACTATGGTCAAACGTCACTGTAGTATTACTTTTATGCGAGAAATTATTTTATTTTCCTTATAACACATTACACATGTGACTCTAAAATCTAAGCAGTTCAAAATATTCTCCACCATAAGCGCTGAAACTGAAGTTAATTAATCATTATTATCATCTGCCAGATCTGCTGACCTTGATGGATAGATTCTTGCTAGATCCTTACAAGAATTATCACTAAATAATTAATAACATGCTTCTTGACACACTAAAATCAAAACGGAAAAAAGAAAGAAGAAAAAAAAAAAAAAAAAAAAGGAGACGTTCGACAATTATACAGGCGAGTTAGATGAAGCTGCGCACAACCCCCATATCTGAAGGGTCATTCAAAGTTATATTATTAATAAAAAAGTATTGTAACTTGTGGTGGTTGTCTATTGCCATAGTATGCACGAGATACGCCAAATGAAACTAGTGAGGTGCACGTTCCAAAAGTATAGTATTTATATTTACTACCTTATTATCATTAATTTCTTGGAGATGCAGCACCAGAATAAATCCAATGTCTAGCTTACCCATTTACTGTCACAGCGTGAAGGACTTTGTATCTCGCTTGAAAAAGGAATTTATGTTTGCTACCTTCTTATCATTATATGATGTTGGAGCAGCGAATATAAGACGAAGTAGCACTATGATGCAAAACAAATTGCAGGCCTAAGAATAAAGATTTTGGATGACACGCTTGATAGCAATGCCTATCATTGAACTTACAAATAAAACATAAATCTTACAACCCATTTGATATTTTGAACTGAAGCCAAAGCACCTGTTCAAACACACTGAATTCTAAATGTAATATCAAATAGAAAGATAAATGTGTGGAAATAGGAATCCTGAAACATGATCATTTCCATTCAGACTGCTATCTATATGTTACATCTTCAAAAAAGCAAGTAGGTGACTGACAATACAAATTGGTGAGAGATACCTATATGTTACATCTTACAGAGGTGCCAGCAGGTGACGAACAATACAAAATAGTGAGAGATTACAAAATTGAGGTGAAGAATCTCAACAAGATCAACTCCGGAAAGGAACAGTAACCGAGTCAACTGGCTGGATCTTAGCAGGAGATGTCTTTACCAAAAAGTTCACTTATTCCTTTAGTAGGATCTGGCTGTTTTACAAGTGACTCTCCAACTAGAACCTATAGAGATGCGAAAAAACGCTATCATCATATATATTGACAAAGACAAAGGGTATAAATCAAAATATTGTATTGATCAGAATGAATGTATCATAGTAGATGGTGATAAACATAATTGTCAAATGAAGACAGAAGGATCTAGGCAAAATCATATTCAGGGAAATAGCACTACTATCCTCTAGTGTCCGTTTTGGAATAGTTATATATAGCCGTTATTATGAATATCAAAATTATTAAGGCAGCTTACCGCTTTGACACCGGCTTCTTGTACGTAAGCAATATCAGCTGGAGTAAATAGTCCAGACTCCCCAACCACCTGAAGAATTAAAGTAGAAATTAACATCACAACTTATTGAGAGAGAAAATACTAAAATAACAGCTTAACATGATGTATTGAAGATCATACAATTATGCCCTTCTCACGGATCCTTTCTCCACGCTCTCCTGCAAGAAGCTTTTTGGTATTGCTAATGTCCACCTTGAAAGTTCCTGGTAATAGAAGAAAGTTGATTTAGTTGGCAAGTTCTAGACAATTGAAGAGTACAATGATCAAACATGTTGCTTATAACTTTATTTATTATGTTTGTACATATTTCCCTAGCTGCGCTATATGTAGCCAGAAAGCGTGACTTTCTATGGAAGTGAACAGGGATTTAGAATCTCTTACTTAATGTAGGAACCTTGATCTTTTTATCCAGAGTTCATTTTGTTTAATTTCCTTATAAAGCTAGTTTACATCTTACCCCTTAGCCTTTGGTGTTAAATTTGTCTCCTTATAGTAGTTGACAGCATGTATTGCATCGAGAAACGAGTAGATTGGTGGTGTAGAATTAATTATGCAATTTACCAAGGTCTCTATTGTTGATGCCAATAAGCTCAACCCCGTCAATTCCGAGGACACGATCCATTTCCCTCTCATCATGCACCTAGAAGAAGGGCAAGAAGTTGAAATGGTTATTATAAGGAAAAGAAATAAAACAGAGATACAGAAAGAGAAGCTTGTTTCTCTTGGTAAAGTGAGAATCCTTGCAATGACAGAAAGATATCAACATCAATAAAGGATTTGTAGTTTATAATAGAATAAATAGAAATCCAAAAACCAATATATGCAGATTGAAAACAATCTTTCATGAAGAAAATAATTTATACCAAATATCTTTCATATCCATGAAACATAATAACTGCCTCGAACAAATGGAAGCTGACATTTCCTTTTTGTGAACAACAACAACAACAACAACAACCCAGTAAAATCCCACTAGTGGGGTCTGGGGAGGGTAGTGTGTACGCAGACGTTACCCCTACCCTGGGTAGAGAGGTTGTTTCCGATAGACCCTCGGCATTCCTCCCTCCAAGAATTCCCCACCTTGCTCTTAGGGTGACTCGAACTCACAACCTCTTGGTTGGAAGTGGAGGGTGCTCACCACTAGAGCAACCCACTCTTGACATTTCCTTTTCGTCAATGAAAGATAGAGACAAATTTTTGTAAAAATACCGATGTGTAGATTTTGAATTATTTGCCTTTCAGTTCATGGAATGGTCGAAAAGTAGGAGTGGAGATAGTAACAATTTACCTCAACTAGTGCTGTCAATCCAAGTAATTTGCAGATTTTAATCATATATTTGATGTCAAGATCTGGTAGAACAGCAGCAATTAACAGAACTGCATCGGCACCTTTAACCCGAGCATAGTAGAGTTGCCAAGCTTCTACAACAAATTCTTTACACAACAAAGGGCACTGCAAAGTTGGAGTTCAATGAAAGACTGTTAAGGAGTCAATTATGAAATATTATAGGTTGTACAAAAAACTATGAGGGAACCTGCATACCTCTACTCCAGCATTCCTTATGGCCTCTAGATTTTCAAAGCTTCCCTAATTCACAAAAAGAAAGAGAAAATCATAATCAACAATTGGAAAATCATTTGACAATCTGCATCTAAGCACTTCCATAATACACCAAGAATTAGTATAGTCTATAGGCTAATTCTCACAGTTGATGCAACTTCCTAAACAACTCCATTATACATCCCAATTCTTGGGTGACTAATAAGAAAGTACCGTGTTTAGTCATTCGCTTAAATGGGATAGTTGGTTTATCCTTTTTTATCAGAACAGAAATCTGTAACATAAACATATCATATTCAGAAGTTTTTTCAAACACTTCAATTACAATTTAAGGCCCTATTAGGAAAAGGATACAATTTTTTTTTCAATTGGTGAAAAAGGGTACAAATCTTTCAACATTCCTGATTAGATTCCCTTTGCATCAGAAGGAACAAAATGCCTGCAACTTTGCCAAATACTTCAACTACAATTTAAGATTCCTACTAGAAATCATAGGAAGAAACTAGTCTCAACATTGTTATCTTAAGAGTGATCATGCCTTCACCTTATTTTGGTCATTGCATTTACATTACGATTTTTTTTTTTTTTACAGTAAATGACTCTGATAGCGGTTACTAGATAGAAATTTCACTATCCCCTAAAGCCATTAATTACTAGAAAGAACATTATCCGTATTGGCAATTTGAACCTTTACCTGAAAATATTTTTTATCTGTCAAAACACTAAGGCATGCTGCTCCACCTCTTTCATAAGCTTTGGCGATCTCAACCTGTCATGCAAAAACATTGAAAGGTTAATCCCCAATTTCAAATATTTCAACAAGGGTAAGTTGCAACTGAAACATTTGAACTCTCTTTAAGGGGTTTGACTCAATGGATGGGTTTCTTTGTCAATGGATTGAGCTAAGTGTGAATCCATGAATAAATGCAATTTCATATTTGAACAAAGGCCTGCAAAGATTTTTATTAATTAAGATCTTCATAGATTATTAAGTCTAAAGGAGATCCAATCTGAAACCCTATATATGGTGGATGAAGAAAATAATCTGATGTACTTAAACCTGCATTTTACTAAATTCTTGATAACCGAGAAATCTGTTGTTTTATAGTGGATCCGCCCCTCTACCTGTCTCCACGTAAATACGAGGTTTGGTTGAAAGCAAGACTCAAACACGTGATGTGGGCTTACCACAATCTGTGTAAAACTTTGCCACTGAATGTTGCCCTGGGGTTGCATCGGACTAAATTAGCACCCTATTTTCTCAGGCTGACTGTTCTAGTCTTGAAGACACATA